AAAATAATATATGTAATATTTACATAGATATTGCATTATTAAATATATAATTTAAAATTAATAATATACTATAAAAGTTATTTAAGTTGTATATATTGCAAACAAATATATTAGAACAAGTAGTCATTGTTATATTTAATAAGACTCCTTGCTTTTTCATTAAGAGATTCAATTTTCATTATTATTTTTGTGATTTATGGTCTCTTAAAAAAATTTAAAAAAAATTTAAAAAAAAAAAAAGTGGTTGAACCGGTTTGACCCACCGGTTCACCGGTTGAACCGGAAAATTGACCGGTTCAATCCGGTTTGAAACAGGTCGATTGCATAACCAATCCAACTTCAAATTCGAACCGGCTGGACCACCGGTTCCCGGTCCAACCGGTCCGACCGGCCGGGTCGGTTCAGGTTTTAAAACACTGCTCCAAACAACTTGTACGGGTACTCTGGTGGAAGTGGAGTGTAGTAAATCGGACTGAGAAGCGTGTGGTTGAGCGGTAGGGGTTGATTCACATTTAAGTTAAGTCAGGGGTTCGAATTCTGTCTTGTGTATGCAGTCTCATTAAATCTTGGGGCCAGTTATCTTACCCTTTGAGGTGCTTCTCTCGTAGCGAGGAGATTAGTCACTACTACCGACGACGATAGATACTTCAGGAAAAAAAAAAATGGGACCGGCAATTTGCTAAAGTGATCGCAAAATCTGATCGGTAATCAGCCGCGGGTGTATGTGTTTGATAAGAAGAACAAAAAGTTAGGGTACATGAAAACAGAAAAACAAAAAATAAAGTGAATAAATATTATGTAAGAATTAAAGAAAAAAATGTTTAATTTATAATAAATAAATAAAATGTGGAAAAATATATAAATAATTACTATTCATTTCCATCCATTTGATAATAAATTAAAAAGATGCCACATTCATATCTTTTTACTTTTATCCTTCTCATTTCCACCGTATCAAATATCTTCTATTTCTTATTTCTATTTTTTCTTCCTCCTTGCTATTTTCTTTCTATTTCAATAAGACCAAACAAAGGGTAAAATTTACACTTTTCATTTCATTTTTACTTACTTTTTTTATCGTTGTACCTATCACATTTATTATATACCATTAAGTATGTCAAATTTAATAGTAACCAATTATGCTGGGTACATCCTGTGCTAGTGATAGAGGAAAAAATTCATTGGCCAATTATATTTAAGAAAACAAGTAACATGAATATACTATTTTATTAAAAATTAGAACATATAATTTATGTACCAAAAATATATATAATTTAGAGAACGAAATTATCAATTTTCCTACTCTTTCAAATAAAAAATCTCGATATTTTTTTTTCTTCTTTCTACTTCGAATGTGCATTTCACATATTACTTCATAATTAGCCAAAAAAAAAATCCCTTAACATGTCAGACTACTCTCCTATTTGTATACTTAATTTTTTACGAATATCTTCACAACTTTCGATCTGTCACCTTTTAATACAATCTTATAATCTTAACAATCTTATATTAGTATTTAAATTATTCATTGTAAATATAAAATATAATTTATTTATTGAAATATTATAAATTTTAATTACATAAATATACATTTATTTTGTAAAATGTACATACAAAATACTAGTTCATATTAAAATGCTTTTCCGTTTCAATTCATTCAAAATTAATTTAAATAGTTTATGAATATATTTGATTACAATATAGATGCTTGGTAAAGAAGTTACTAACGTGTAATATTTTTTTACTTGGCACTTGAAATAGTGTGTGAACAGAAACAAAGTGACAAACCACTGGCATTTCTCTTTTGACAATGTAAAAAAAAGGTGTGAACAATAACAAACAACTCAGATTATTAGGGGAGAATGCAAAGAATCACTAATCATCTTGTCAAGAAACATACTAATGAAACTTAAGATTCATGCCTATTCACCTCAAATCATGGGACACATGCAAGGGATATATTTTGCAGCATCAAGTTGTGTTTCGTAAAGTTGCAGCCCACATAACAGTGACATCAAAGCGTGTAGTACATACAAACCACAGAAAACATGATTTAATTAAAAAGGGTGCAAATAAAGCTCAAATATTTATGAACAACATGATGCAGCCCTAGTTCCTTCGGCGGGTCTATCCACAAGAACCATCCCTGCTGGGTTCTGAGCTGGCTGTGCCCTCGGTAGCCTCTTGGCTGTTCACAAAAACCAAATGTGAATGTCAACAACATTCAGCAGTTTATAGCACAATAGACACTGTTTAAAAGCAATGAATTGCTATTTTCTTTCTATTTCAATAAGACCAAACAAAGGGTAAAATTTACACTTTTCATTTCATTTTTACTTACTTTTTTTATCGTTGTACCTATCACATTTATTATATACCATTAAGTATGTCAAATTTAATAGTAACCAATTATGCTGGGTACATCCTGTGCTAGTGATAGAGGAAAAAATTCATTGGCCAATTATATTTAAGAAAACAAGTAACATGAATATACTATTTTATTAAAAATTAGAACATATAATTTATGTACCAAAAATATATATAATTTAGAGAACGAAATTATCAATTTTCCTACTCTTTCAAATAAAAAATCTCGATATTTTTTTTTCTTCTTTCTACTTCGAATGTGCATTTCACATATTACTTCATAATTAGCCAAAAAAAAAATCCCTTAACATGTCAGACTACTCTCCTATTTGTATACTTAATTTTTTACGAATATCTTCACAACTTTCGATCTGTCACCTTTTAATACAATCTTATAATCTTAACAATCTTATATTAGTATTTAAATTATTCATTGTAAATATAAAATATAATTTATTTATTGAAATATTATAAATTTTAATTACATAAATATACATTTATTTTGTAAAATGTACATACAAAATACTAGTTCATATTAAAATGCTTTTCCGTTTCAATTCATTCAAAATTAATTTAAATAGTTTATGAATATATTTGATTACAATATAGATGCTTGGTAAAGAAGTTACTAACGTGTAATATTTTTTTACTTGGCACTTGAAATAGTGTGTGAACAGAAACAAAGTGACAAACCACTGGCATTTCTCTTTTGACAATGTAAAAAAAAGGTGTGAACAATAACAAACAACTCAGATTATTAGGGGAGAATGCAAAGAATCACTAATCATCTTGTCAAGAAACATACTAATGAAACTTAAGATTCATGCCTATTCACCTCAAATCATGGGACACATGCAAGGGATATATTTTGCAGCATCAAGTTGTGTTTCGTAAAGTTGCAGCCCACATAACAGTGACATCAAAGCGTGTAGTACATACAAACCACAGAAAACATGATTTAATTAAAAAGGGTGCAAATAAAGCTCAAATATTTATGAACAACATGATGCAGCCCTAGTTCCTTCGGCGGGTCTATCCACAAGAACCATCCCTGCTGGGTTCTGAGCTGGCTGTGCCCTCGGTAGCCTCTTGGCTGTTCACAAAAACCAAATGTGAATGTCAACAACATTCAGCAGTTTATAGCACAATAGACACTGTTTAAAAGCAATGAAAGGTAATTCAATCATAGAAACCGAAGATATGCTAGCAACACCCTCCCGACATATTCTTTTGAACTTTATCTCAAATAGGTTAAAATTTATAAAAAAAAAAATTATAAAGTTTTGTAGGATTCACTTCTTATTTAACGAGTTTCACTCATGATTATATCATTTACAATATATTTAACCAATGGTAAATAAGATTTGTTGCTAGTACTCCTCTAAAAACAGTGCATGCTTCCTCAACATGAGGTTTAACAGAAACTCAGAAATTAGAGTAACCGAGTAAGTATACAAGATTTCACGTGCCACGAAAAATGAAAGTGGACACCAGCAGGGACGGAAGAAAAATAGTCCAAAAATGATGCAATGAAGTGTAATAATGACATGGTTAGGAGAAAGGAAAAGGGCCAAAAATGTTCCATCATGTAGCCCATAGAGGGAACACACGTTTCATGAGTTGGATGTCAGCAATCAGTAGTGAATATGATAAAAACTTAGCCAGTAAAGTGGGGGCAGATATTTTCTCAATTCTTCCTCCTTCTTTGGACTAATCATGTCCCAATTATCTTTATTTTAAGCGATTCAATTAAAAGATGTAAAAAAACAAAATACTCATTAAGCAGAGCCTAAAACATAATAAAATAGGAATGGACTCGCACCTATTTCATAGAATACATCATTAACGTTGGTTGCAGATTTGGCAGAGGTCTCCATGAAAAATAAACCATTTTCTTCAGCATATACGCGTGCTTCCTGTAATATCAATAAGTTAAATCTAATATACAGGTAGGAGCAAGAGATGTCCTTATAGTACCGGCTATATAAAAAATGAAAATAAACAAAACATATGAAAGCTACCAAACATAACAGAAGAATCCAAATATGTTGCGATGGTAAATTACACACTATAGCACTTTTCTATCATAATTTAAATTTTAAGACAACGGAAAATTAGCATAGCCTGCAAAACAAAACTAAAATCACCATAGTTAAACCGTTCAAAAGCACATACATTTATCCAATTTGCACTTCGCAAAGAGGCACTGACATTAAAAATGCTTTTCGCAAACAAGTTTAAAACCCAGAATTTTATCCCCCACCTAGTTTTATAAAGTTCATTTTCCTCTAGAAATATTTGAATATTCAAAAAAACACTACAACCATTAATCAGTTAGCAAAATCTGACGATGGATCTGCATATTGATAAATTTCTTTGCCAAATGCACACATGCATATCAGTTCAGATCTACATTTTCTGTTGTTTAGGACCAGAATTCATAACTCCTTCCATAGCTCTTTTTTCTATAATTTATGCATTTAATACACATTATATTGTTATTATAATACTCCATATTGATAAATTTCTTTGCCAAATGCACACATGCATATCAGTTCAGATCTACATTTTCTGTTGTTTAGGACCAGAATTCATAACTCCTTCCATAGCTCTTTTTTCTATAATTTATGCATTTAATACACATTATATTGTTATTATAATACTCCATATTGATAAATTTCTTTGCCAAATGCACACATGCATATCAGTTCAGATCTACATTTTCTGTTGTTTAGGACCAGAATTCATAACTCCTTCCATAGCTCTTTTTCTTATAATTTATGCATTTAATACACATTATATTGTTATTATAATACTCCATAACTAACATGATATTAAAAGGAATATTGGAAAACAATAATACTTACTTCAGCTGTCACTTTCCTCTTATCTTCCAAATCAGCTTTGTTACCAGCAAGAGCCATGACCATATTAGGATTTCCTGTAACAAAAAAAGAAGAAGAGAAGAAGAACCTGAGTGCATAATTCGAGAATCTACTCAATCTAGATAATTTATGCAACTACCACTACTACAAAGTATTATTTGAGGCAAACCAAAGTAGCTGAATTTTAATTTAATAATGTAGAGAAAACCCTCAAACCAAGCACTATTTATCAACAAAAGCATTGCCTATATTATCTACCTGTTGATCTAGAACATACATCATTGATAGACGAGTCCTAGTGATATTTATGGAAAAATATAAATAAACATTTATTTTAACCATTAAATATCATAGGTAACTCGTTAAACAAACTAGAAGTTCAATCTATGTCTATGGCCCACAGCAAATGGAATCTTGAACATCCCTAATTGTTCACAATCTTCTCATGCACATATTAATTTTCAAACCAAGCATTATTTTTAATATAATAATGCAGAGAAAACCCTCAAACCAAGCATTATTTTTCAACAAAAGCATTGCCTATATTATCTATTTGTTGATCCAGAATGTACACCGTTGATAGATGAATCCTAGTAATATTTATGGAAATATATAAATATTTATTTCAACCATTAAATATCATAGGTAACTTGTTAAACAAACTAAAAGTTCAATATATGTCTCTGGCTCACAGCAGGTGGAATCTTGAATATCACTAGATGTTCTTCACAAGTTTCTCGTGCACACATTCTCACACCATATAATGAATAACTCATCCACATCTCTGCCATTCCATTATAAAACATGAATATAATTTTCTTAAATGATTAGTATAAACCAATCAGACCTTAAATACAAAATAATGACAAGGAATATTAAAAATTGGGGCCAAATTAGTTTACAAATAGGTCACATCCATAAGTTTGTAAACAGTTAATAAATAGTTTAATATCCTTTTGCAATCACTTCAGGAAAAAAAAACACACACACACACACATAAGAAAACTTCAAAACCATTCAGCTAATACCTTGCTTTTGAAGCTCTTGGACCCACTTCTTAGCTCGGGTAAAGGAGTCCTGTAGAGGGAAGATAGAATTAAGCATATTAAAGCACATTAAATAGACAATAACATTAAAAGAATAGCTTCATCCCCACCAAAAGACAAGAATATACCAATCAATCGATAGAACCTTGCAATGAGATTTGATCTACTCTTTTTGCAAAGAGTATGATTTCTTAATGAAGATTCATAATACAATGTTGATCCATTATACTCATTTTTCAATAGTTTATACTTCAAGCCCAGAGAGGGCTTTTGCACAGCAGGTGTATTTAGGTATAAAGACATTCGCAAGCTTTTGATTTTGAGAGTTTAACTTTTAGGGAAGTTGGTCAATAACAAATTCTTTTAAATGAACTTATTCCTCACATTTATTAGTTTCAAGAAATGATAGCATTGATTAGAATAAGTAGACCCAATGCAAGAATTCTCTGGAAATTTTTGTGCAAAGTTTTTGGTTAAAAAGGACCAACCAGATATCCCCTGATGAGGAGAGCATATAATGTCTTAAAAGTATGACTCAAACAGGGTTCCATAATAAGGACCTTCAGGACACCACTCACAATTCAAATAAATATGATTGACTTTTGGTCATGAATTTGGAACTTTCAGGCCCTGAACTTGTCAACTTTTGGAACTGATTTCTGTTTCCCTTCATTCCATTTTAAGGTATAATTCACATATACATACATTCCACTTGGCCAGAACATTTTCAATGTATTAATTTTTTTCCAAGAAACACACGGATTTATTAAATTTGGCAAATCATTTAAGACATTTTAACATCAGTCCAGAAATACTTTTACTAGACCAATGAAATGCAGAAAAAGAGGCACTTGCTTATGCACATAACTCAACAGAACAATTCTACACCTCAACAACATAAGATTTACCATTCACATTATGATTTTGAGACTTATAAGCCTGAACAAACAGGCTGCAATTTTTTTCCATGGCCCGTAATAGCTAATCATAATTTTTCATGTTTTAGATAATGTAAACTTACAAGAAAGAAATAGAAGCATCAAATTATACGTCAAAAACAGTCAATGTCATAGTTTTCAATCTCGTTAACGGCATGCAGTGGCCAACTCTGAAAACGCTATAGCAAGACGTGGGATGACTGCTATTTTAAATATTATCTAGTACAAACTAAATAGTTTATGCTACACACGTAAATACTCAAAAGAAAACAGAGAGAGAGAGAGAGAGAGACAGACAGAAATCATGATAAATAATAGATCACAATTTACATTCACAATTACCACCATTAATCTAGGAACAATAACAACATAGTAATGAAGTCAAAATCCAAAACATGATGGTGAAAAATGAGTTGAAAAAGAAAATAACAATTTAGACTAAAATTGGCAGAATGTGAACTAGGAAGGAGAATGAACAGAAAACAATAAAAAAAAAATGGTCCTGTAAAATGTGAAGGAATAGAGGTCAAAACAAAGGTAACAAGTTTAGTGGAATAATTTAACCCCAAAAAAAAACCTAAACAACATTTCAGGGCAAATTTTACGTTTTTGAAGCTGATATCATCATGATTGCCAAACTCAAGAGAATCTACACATACTCATGGAGCTTTCATAGACTCAACTCATAGGCTTGCCTATTTAAAAAAATATTATTAAAAATGCCTATTAATGGCATATTTGCATGACATAATACTCTTAACACAACAATAATTCAATATTTCACCTCCATAATAAAGAAAAGAAGCAAACTCAAATAATAAGGTGTTATACTACATTAGTACTAAATAAAATTAAACTACATAAATGATCAATACATAAATTCGTAAAAAACATAAGTTCCTACAATGAAAACATTTCAAAAATGATTTTATTTCTTCAAATCATTTGAGTAACAGTAAAACACTAACATTATGGGGTTAATGGGAGGCAAAAGTTACATTTGATTTCAAGCTTTCTAACTCATTTTTTGACTCAGTTTTACGAGTTTAAAAAGTTCATCCGAGTTCATCTAGAAAGTGTTTAACAGAGTTAACACATTTTCTCTACCAAGAATTGTAAACTCATAAGAGTTTATTGGTTAACTCGAGTTTGACAACATTGGATATCATGGTAACACCACTATAGCGCATGAAAAGCCAGTATTGCGACTCCTTATTGAAAACCACTCTGCTATTTGAATCCCATAGAGGTCCAGGGTCGCTCTGCTTTGCTATAGCATGCTATCTACTACTACGGTCAATGTACACCAAATATTGCCAATTTAAATAGGTATTCATAAATATCAAAAGGCAAAGGTATCATACTGAGCTAGTGATGTCATAGACAATGATAGCAGCAGCAGCGCCTCTGTAGTACATGGGAGCCAAGCTGTGGTACCTCTCCTGTCCTGCTGTGTCCCAAATCTCAAACTTCACAGTTGCGTCATTTACAGCAAGTGTCTGGGAAAAGAACGCTGCACCTATCGTTGATTCCTGTCACCACAAAAGATGGCATAAATTCAGCAACCCAATCACCACGTTCCCCTAACTTGACTAATGAGGCACAAAACAACACCTCTAGAAGTCAAAACCTAAAACCATAACGCACAACTATAAACGGAAGGAAAATACTATCTCCCCCACAACGCCATACCACACCACAACTATATAGACATCATTCAAAACTCCAAAGCTATAACATTCAACACTCATTAATCACTACCTTCATAACCTCCATGATCAAATCAAGCTATACCCTTTTGTGACCAACCGAAATTCCTCACATTCTCTATCACAGTTTTTATGAAAATTTCATTCAATCATCTGAAACAACATAACCCTATTTTTGATCGGTCAATTTTCCGGCCGAATTAACATAAATTAGATAAAGTCAAGACAAGCCCGTGATGATAAACGCGAATATTTTCAGTATTTTCATTACACACAACAAACCCAACAAAAAAAACTCAAACAAATAAACCAAGGAGACCCTTTAAACAGGAATAATTCCTAACCAAAACGAAGAAATCAATAAATAAAAAAGGGTTGGAAAAAAACCTGAAATTCGAGAAATTGACCCTTGACAAAGCGCAAAACGAGGCTGGATTTCCCGGCACCCATGTCCCCGAGGAGAACCTGATGAAAATAACAGAGTCAAGGCATAATCGGAATAGAAAAGTTTGAGAAACAGAGAGATAGAGAAAGAGTGGACCCACCAATTTGGCATTGAGATTGTTGTGTCCGATCGTAGCCATGGGAAGAGAATTGGATCGATCGGAAACGGGAACCCAATACGCGAAAGATTGGAATTTTGCACTTTGCGAGTATATAGAAAGAATTGATTTGGAGATTGAAATGATCAAATCAAAGAGACAGAAGAAGAGTCTCTCTCTTTCTCTCTCTCTCTCAATTCTATTGCTTTTCGCTTACGGTGGCTTTATTGTATTTCGCTCTTATAAAATGAGCCGTGTAATTTTGAGATAAAGTCACACATTAAAAAAAATTAACGATTTAAAATTAATTATAATATTAATTATTATTTTTAATTAATAGTTAAATTTAAATATGTATTTAGTTGTTTAAATTTAAGATAAATTTATTTTTTATTTTAGATATTTAAAATTAATTTTTTTAGTCTTTAATTTTTAAAAAACTTATTTTAATTTTTAAATTAAATTCTTTAAGAAAATTTATTAAATACTATCACAATAAATTTATTTGACAGTGTATTTGTTAACGAAAACATAATATTAACTGTTTTAATTTATTATTTTTATATATATTATTAATAATTTAAGAAATTAAAATAAATTTTTAAATTTGAGGAACTGAAATAAAAATCATATTTAAGTTTAATAATTATTATTATTATATTTTTTTAAAGTACAATTACTTATTTTAGTAGAGCCAAATTCGAGTTTATTTGCTGCCGTCTGCGTCCAAACGCATTCGTTTTATTTGTTTTAGGTGTCGTTTTTGTCTTTTCTTTTGCTTTCTTTATTTTATATATATATATATATATGTGGTTATTGGTGGCTTGACTTTGACATGCAAATGGAAAATTGCTTTTGCTTACAACAAAGGCAAGTCCAAGAAAACACGTTGCCTCAAATTTGATTCCTCTATGCTGGGAAAACCCGTAACACCCATTGTTCTTATCTCTCAAGGATTCCATAATGGATTCTCTAACTCTTTCAGTGTTTTTTTTTATGGGGTTTATTTCATACTCAGATTATGATTTTACTTTAGTGATTTTTTTTATAATTACGTCGTTGATAAAAAGTATTTATAGTAAAATAATAATAATTAATCTTTTTTAAAAATAGTTTTACTTTAGTAGTTGATGTCATGGTGGAAGAATATCTTTATTTTAAGTGTGATATTTAAAACTCAAACATTCATCCTTTTATATTAGACATATACAATTATATTATGATATGGTATTTACAATGATCCGACAAATCATTATACTTACTATAGTTTAATCACTATGCAATGAAAAAAATAAATAAAAGATAACTAATCTAGGGTTACCAAGTAACAGGTATCTGATTTTGTGCACATGGATATATGTATAGGATAAGAAAAACTCAAAATGGTTCATGTACATATATACAATCTACACAAAATACAATCGTCCACAAAATAAATCATATTCATCGGTCAAGTATCTAAACATGACCTAAACTGCATATGAGCAGTGTCATCACAAAATAAATCATCTCTAGCATCATCTTCCACTCTTTACACAAATCAGTCATACCCCACTCTTATACCAAATATGATTATTGCAATTTCAACGACAAGGAAAAGAAGTGTAAGCTTGTGAATAAAATCAACATACATAACAACAATAAAGGTACTAACTTAATAACAACTTAAAGCAACAATATTCATCAACCAAACAACTTCACTTATCATCAATTACTACGTAAACAACTTATAACATAATACAACTTATCAACTTCAACTCAATAACATGTTCAATATAAGCAACAATAAACAATAAATGTATCGTCACACATATCAACTATGGAACTTTACTACAATAGAGATGAAGAACTTAAGTGACTAAACCTTACCGAATTATAGCATTTGACCTATCGCAACTAAGTCAAGTATAGATAATTTTAGGCTTCTTAAAGAACCTGTTTAACAATTTAATTTGATTTTTTAGGTGTCGTCACTTAAATTAGGAAACCTAGTACTATTGTTAGGATATAACAATTTGGATATGAGTCTATCACAACATTAACTTGCAACATTAAGTCTCATGTGGTACTAGCCCACCGACTACCCTCCAGATACTACACTTTTCTAATATCCAGTTTGAAAACAAAGTTCTCGACCGTGTACCTTACTCAGTTGCTTGCTTATACACTTATGTCTCAACCTTGCCCATATACAGATACCGTGTAAAACCTATAAGATACTATTTAAAGTAACTACTTATTTAGAAGTTAACTTACTTATTAAAGGGTTTTAACTCGAGCTCACAAAGCACTACAACTTATATTCACACAATGAGATATGTTAATTTTTACAATGTTTACTCTCCTGTAGTTTTTATATATCTAAATAAAGATATATATTTATAGCACATGCCTATAATATAACAATTTACTTAACTATAGCAATATACAACTTCACAACTTAATCATCTATCAACTTACATCTTAACAAGATAAACATCATCATATAGTATATCAACTTAAAACAAAATGGACTATCATCATATCATTTTCATCATACAACTTAATCATCATCTTTTAATTATAAAACAACTTAAACAACACATTAGAATCATACAACTCACACTTTGCACCATCTCTTGGTCGCCCGATGCCATCAAGGCAAGGGAGCTTCCTGTCTTGCCTACACCCAATGTTACTTGCGTCCAACATGGTTGAAACATAGAGTATCTCACTCTCTCGTGCTTGGTGTGGAAAAAGCCTACGTCCAACTCCAATCAAGTAAAGGGCCTCGACTTGATCCATGTCTAATGCCACTCCTTTGATGCTCAGTGGAATTTCAACCTGAGACAATTCTTTCTCTTCACATCTGAACCATTCAAATCATGCACAAAGTAATTTCAACCTAAGAGATTCTCTCTCCTCACATCAAGTTTCACCAATCCTACATCCAGCGTGAGCAAGACATAACCCATTGGTTGAAGTCACGCTCAGTGCCTTGAAGTCGCATCCAACGTGACATTAATTTTTGCACTTACGCAGAAATTGAATTTGCCCAATCCACCTTAAGAACAACAACTTGCCAATATGCATTACATAATACAACTTATAAACAACATGTAAATCCTAATTTTAACATCAAACAATATATGCAATCATTATCTTTCAAGAATCATCATATCTAACTCATGCACCACTTCAAGAAAACCAAAAATCCAACAAGTCATCAGCTCATCTTCATTCAATCAAGGAATCAATAGATGAAACCCAACAACAATAGTCCACATGAATTTTCAACAAATAACACAAAGCTTATTTTACTTCTTGTCAATCCAAACTGAAGAGAGGAGAAGAGAAGGAAGAACAATATGAACCCAACTTAAGATTCTTAACTCCACAAGTTTCAAATCTCTAACTCAACCAAGTAATTTAGTTAATAAGAAGATGAAGGGAAAGATTTTCAAAAAAGGAAGAAGAAGAAGGTTATGAATTTTATTTTTTTTTGATAAGCAAACAAGATTTAAATTATTGGGAGTACAAGGGGTACTCCAACCCGTTACAATAGAGTTCAAAACCAAAACAAAAATTATGAGATACACAAACCCGGATTATAATACCAACTAATGTAACTAAAAGAACAACCAGGGACAGAACTAGTAATCCACTTCCATGAACGTAGTTTAATGCTGTCCAACACTTCCTTGCAATCCATAACACCTTGCTGAAAGATAATAACATTCCGATGAAGCCACAGTGACCAAATTACAGACACCCAAACCACTTGAAAACACTGAGAGCGTTTTTTATATATACCAAGATTCATCCAATATTGGTAGAGAGAAGTTAAAGAATTTGGAAGGACCACCGCAACCTCCAACTAATTAGCAACAGCTAACCAAATATTAAAAGTCATTGGACACATTAGAAAGAGATGAAGAGGGTCTTCGACAAACAGAGAGCAAAGAGAGCATAAATTGTTATCCAACTCCACACCACGAACTTGTAACAATGATTTGCATAGGAATGCATTCATGAACACCTGCCAACAGAACATCAAGCACTTGATCGGAGCCTTGCATTTCCAAAGAAGGTTATGAATTTTAGAGAGTCTCTCTCTAACTTCTTTGTAAAATTCTTAAAACATGAACATGTGAGATTCACATCTTATATTTATGTCTTCTGCCACTAGAATTATTGAGCTATAAAGTGAAATGACCTACCGAATATCTATATAATTTAAAACTATTTTATAATAAAATATATTAAATAGATTAATTTTAAAGTATTTATTATATATTTATAAAAATATAAATTCTTAGGATCTAACTCTTCTATAAATATAAGAGTTAAGATAGCAATTAGAAAATGAAGGCGCAGTAATGCAAGTAGAAATAATATAAATAAATGCATAATAATAATAATAATATTTAAAAATTTAAATAAAAAAATGAACACCCCGTCGTTATAAAACTTTTCCAATGGGATTTTTTTTTCCAACAATTATGACATGTGGCATGATAAGATATTATTTCTTTATAGCAAGATAAGATGTTATCTTGTTATATAGCAAATGAAAGATTGATAAATATGGAGAAGAAGTTGTGTGAATTGTTGTATCTTGTCTTTCCGTTCTAATCGAGAGAGATAAACAATAACTTCTGATGGCAACACATTAACCAAAAGACATTTAATGTGTGAACAAACTAAGCAGAAGTTAACTATGTTCAAATAATTTGAACTGCCCAAAAGTTGAAATCAAAACTACTCTTTTTATAATGAAGGGGTCAAGCGTCTTACACATTGAGAAGAGAAAAAATTAGAATAGAGAGAGGAATAAATGTGAGACTCTTAAAAAAAACATCTCTTTCTCACTTTGAGAAAACTGACAAAAGTGAAGGAGTATTAACTGAATAGTGAAATTATAAGACATGGAAATGTAATCCGATTCGATTCTGAGAAAATTTACGATAATTCACATTGACTTAATTGAGTTAGACTCTTAATATGCTTTATATAAATGTCTACGTATATTACTTAGCCTACCAGCTAATTTATCATGCTTTGTATAAATGTCTAAATAATATTATGTTATACTTAATACTTAGCCTACCAGCTAATTCACACTTTTTTTTATAATATTATATATATCGATAAAAAAAATTCATATTTAAAATGAATCAAATATAGTACAATTTAATTTTGCATAGAACACACAAAGTATAATTGTTTTTTATACGATAATATTTTTTTTTGGCTGTCTAAGAACACACAAAATTTATTTTTTTTTCTGCTCCACTTTTTTATTAACTTAAATAAACATTATCATACCTATCTTGTTATCATCCAACGTGTTAGTGACGAAAGAAACAGTGCCAAGTAAACCACAGCCCCGAGGGGGAAAAACAAATCCTCGTGTAACTATTTTTAAGAAAAAAAAATATAAATTTCATTTCCGCATTCAATACGAAAATAATTTTGAAGACAATATTGATATTGATTAAAATCACATTCAAACATTTATTTAATTAGCTGCGTTAATTAATATAAAATACGGGGTTTAACCAATGTTAATTGTGTTTAGAAACTATATTAGAAACCTGGTTATACGTGGCTAATTTAGTGTGCCTCTTATTTTTGGTCTTTTATGATGCTCCCACACCCTCACCCTTCCTGTGCTGTGCTTCCCCTGTACCGAAAGTAATTTAATTTTGTACAATTAAAAAGGAAGGGAAATGATTTCTGGTCCTTTTTGGGCTTAATGCAAAAGGCACAATAAACATAAAGAACAAGATATAGACAGGACTAACAAACAAACTAGCTTAAGGAAAGAAAGCACATTGTCTGCCAAGATGTTGATTAAGGAAAACGTTGAGAAGCTACCTACAAGTAGTACACACCCACATTGTGGGGATCAACCACGATAACATAGCTACATACATCTTAATAAGCCAAGCTAAAAAACAAAAAAAAAAACTGTTCAACTCCAGTGAGGATAATAAGAGGAAATGGGGTTTGGTTACTTAAAGAACAGATACAATTCGTTATATCGAATGGCTAATTTGGCCATTGCGTTATGCAGATTCATTGTCTGAAATCACATTCTGGAGATCTGAAGAGGTATAAGAGTCGCAAGCATTTCATGCCTAACAGAAACTAGAGGCTGCTTTTCAGCGTGGCCTTGATTCTCTGAAAGATATGTCTGAACATTATCAGCAGCCATAAGCCCAGCAGAGTAGGCTCCATGCACAGATCCCTGGTTGTCCAAGCTTACAGCTTCCCCTCCAAAGAATAGATTGCCCACTGGTGCACGAAGCTTGTCGTACACGTCATTTGGTTTTCCAACTAAATCATATGAGTAACAACCGAGAGAGTTTGGATCTGTTCCCCATCGAGACACAAGATACTGAACCTGCAAAAGTCCAAACACAATAAGTAGGATGCAGACACGAGGATAAAGCAAAGTAAACTTCTAATAGAGGTGAACTTACTGGCTCAGAAGCATTTGGAAACATCTTCCTGAGCTGTTTCATTACAAATTTTGCGGCTGCCTCGTCAGATAGCTTCTCGATGTCATAAGCAAACCTTCCAGCTACCATATAGACAAGAACAGGATGGCCTGTTGCTTTGTGTAGATTAAGAAAATAACCACAGGCATAAGAAGTCGGAGCAACCATGCCCAAGAGTTCTACGTTAGGCCAAAATACTTTGTCAAATCTTAGGGCAACCTTATTTTCATTACCCACACCAAGATCTGATATTGCAGAAACCTTCCAATCAGGAAGTTTTGGTTCAAATTGAATTAAATTGGCTTTTAGGATTCCAATAGGAACAGTTATGATAGCAGCATCAGCAACAAAGTCCCTGCCATCCTCCACCGTGACCATTACCTTGTTGTAACCACTGGATATCTTTTTCACCCTACATGATGAGGTATCACAAAAGGATCAAAATTGGGTTACAGTAAAATTAGGGAACTATTCTTATTTTAAAGTAAAATACAATTAAATGTATCCACCTACTCAAGTTACAGCAAAAGGAGTTTAGCGTAAAATAAAGTTGAAACTAATTGCGGAACAATGTCATTGATGGTAAATCAATCAGTGAAGTACCAAGTCCCATCAAATGTTTATTCAATCAATTAAGCCATCTAAACATAGGCCAGGGGCGTATCTTTAAAAATAACTAGAAAAAAGACTACCGGTGTAGGTTTTGAAATCAACATACTTTTAATTAACAGAAAATCAACTTTAAAAACCAAAAAATAATTTCCAGTGTTTATTATTCTCTGGGATCCAAACATACTTTTCTCTTTTGTTTCTCCATTTATTACATGTTCAGTCATGAAAAATGACATGTAGGTAAGTCATACACTAGATCTTACCTGTGATTCAACCGTATGTCAATATCTTTTGCAAGAGCTTTTATAACAGGATCATATCCTTGCACCATGAGTCCATGACCACCAGAGAGCACATGTTCCTATAATCAGGAACCTCAACAATGTAAGCATTAATTTGGGTTATTAAATAATGATGAGTTGATTTTCCACATATAAATAGAATACAACAATAAAATTTGAATATGAAAAACCTTCATCTCATTTTGTCAACTTAAACTAGATAAATAACCCAAGGTCAAAAAGAAAAAGGCAACAAAAGCCTTCCACCTTAACCTATGACATAAGCGAAAAAAATTTATCATGGGAAGCTCATATGTCAAATGAAGACTGTCAAGTAGCTTATCTCGAGAAATGCAAATTATTAGTAGATTAATTAACAATAATTGATTATTTATCTACTATATTCCCTATTTTTTGAATAAGTTTTAAATATGATAAGTATATAATAATCCAAATAAAACAATACTTCGAACTTTTTATATAAATTAGCTATTTTTAGATTTCTGCTTAAGTGCTTATAATACTCATCCCAAGTTTTCATCATTTATATAAACAATAACCCAAGAAAATGATAGCAGATTAAGGGATATGAATGAAATCATGTATAAAATACATAAGTATTTGTTGAACAGTAGAGGCAAAAGAATATCTTATATCTTTCAAATTAGATTGGCACTTGCCTGATCCCAGGTTTTTAGTGAAATCATATCTGCATCAGCAGCAAACCAAGCTTCCATTCTACATATAAACCATTGCAGCACTTCATGGGCAAGTCCTTTTTGCCTGCAGAAAATTTTGTCAATTACAGCAATAGAGTGGAACTCAAAGCCTCAATGTTTGCACATAATATTGTCTTCACAATCAAATACCTTAGTTTTGGATGCTTATCTAGCACAACTGAAATAGCTTCGGAAACTGAGATGTCATCCGGACATTCCTCCCTCACTTTCCCTGTCTGTAGTCACCAGATCATTAGATTCAAGATTAGGATAATCAGAACTGCATTTACGATTGAAAAATACCATGTCATATGCTGTAAAGTGAAAAGGTCTTACCTCTTCCAGAATTTTCTTAAAGGTGTCTCCTACTTCAACGACCAATTGTTGTGGAACTTGATTACCATCAATGTTAAATAGCATATAACTGAAAAAAAAAACATAAAAATACATTTACTATGTAATAAACTAGTAGTAGAATTGCAAAAGTCCCAAATATATTATTCTTTTGAACACAACAGTAAATCATATATGTATGCTTCGTTTTCAATTGAGACAAACTTTGTCATGGACTATGAATTTGGAAGACATACAGCAGAAAAAATAAAAAATAATAGGAGCAGGAAGGCAAAAGGGGGAATTGAGGAGTGAGATAGTTACACACATTTGTAATTCCTTTTAGAGAGGGAGAAGAAGGGGGGAGTCAGTTTTATTTCAGTTAGTAGTGGGTTAGGAGATTTGTTCTGCAGGCATGGCAGATTTCATCTTTGCAATACATTCATCTATTTTTTTCAATAATACATTACTTTTCTCCTATTTCTGTTTTGGTCTCTATATTGGTGATTCATAAGCATTCAATACATTAAGGCCCATTGCTAGGACTTAAAAGCACATGAGGAGAGTCCAACACAAAAGATTAGTCCATTATGTGGAAGAGCCTCAAGGTTTAAGTACCACATTGAGCTTCAATTTTTACTCAATGTGGGACTCCTAACATTGCATCTTAAAACTTCAAATGCATCAATCTCAGTGGAATTGCAGAAATGAAGGATTATTACCTTTCCAAATCATGGTCATACAAGACAGAGTTGTCACCACTGGTACGATATAATGAAAGCCCCAGGCCACGGATCAATGGAGCCAATGGATTCTCATTACAGACTCCATGTAACCTGAAAATTTCATCAATGTCTCATTCCATTGACTGTTTCTTATACGTAAATTATAGTGTATAAAGGCTAATATAACAAAATGATCATATTTCAGTTATCAGGGCAAAAACAGTGTATCTCACTACAGTCACAAACATCATACTTCCATGTAGTATCTTTCAATATAAGCAATATGTATGTATGTATTAGAAAACTCTCTTCCAGCTTACGAAGAACAGCTAAATCCTTAGAAGGAGAATAGAAAGTTAAAAATAAATATTTAATCCAAAAGGTCAATAAATGAAAGTGGTAATGAGCATAATACATTTCTAACAACGTACTGAATCACAAGCCTCAATAGTGAGAAAAGAAAAAAGAGAAAAGCCATTAGGTTTCAAGAACTGAGTGAATCAATCTAAAACTGCAATTTGTGTAACATCCAAAACTGAAGACGACAGTTAACTTTAAAAAGTTGAAAGAAATGGCAAATGTTCCGGTATGCTTAAAAGTCTCACATCGCTTAGGAGTCGAGGCTAAGGGTAGTTTATAAACACCCTCCCTCCTTAACCCCTTGAGGCGCCTTTTAAAGGACAAAACCGTGACAGCCACACAAGAGCCAAAACGGACAATACCTCAGATGCGGTGACCCTAATGATGACAGCGGACTTACGGTAGGAACATTTGGCGCTAGAAGGAGGGTCTAGGCCACTCTTGCCCCTTAGCATCGATTAGGGGACTTGTTCCAGTAAGCCTAAAAGTCTCACATCGTTTCGGAGTCGAGGCTAAGGGTAGTTTATAAACACCCTCCCTCCTTAACCCATTGAGGCGCCTTTTAAAGGACAAAACCGTGACGGCCCAACGAGTGCCAAAGCGGACAATACCTCGGATGCACTTACGGCAGGAACATTTGGCGCTAGAAGGAGGGTCTAGGCTACTCTTGCCCCTTAACATCGACTGAGGGACTTGTTCCGGTAAACCTAAAAGTCCCACATCGCTTCGGAGTCGAGGCTAAGAGTAGTTTATAAACACCGTCCCTCCTTAACCCACCGAGGCGCCTTTTAAAGGACAAAACTGTGTCAGCCCAACGAGTGCCAAAGCGGACAATACCTCGGATGCAGTGACCCTAACGATGACAGCGGACTTACGATAGGAACAACAAGAATTTGACAAAATTGAAAGAATTGAGCAAATAAAAAACAAGATATATAAAAAAGCACAAGTGACATAAAGGGAGCCATCTTTTGGAAACCAGTATTCTATCAACAAATAAAGTCCCTTGTTCTCATAAGCTATTGATAACTTTTATTTGAGCAACATGGGCTAAGCTGGATATGGTGGTCTAGTTCTAGTAGACATGTGCCAACAATATGTGAGCAGAGCTTTGTACTATGAGAAATGATTAATTTTAGCACAAAATTCAATTAACCAAGTTCAAAATCCTTGTGCTCTACCTAACTATTGAGGCTATGTCCTTGTTTCAATTGATACCAAACCCAGAAGTAGGGTATAAAACAAAGCAACCAAATTAGGCAAGTTTAAACCTCATAAAAAGACAATGCACCAATTTTATTTACCTTTCATCTACAAAACCATGTCGCAACAAATACACTTTCAGAAGAACAAATGAACTTACCATGAGGCTCCCATGTCAACTGGACAACCAAATGAGTGGTCAGTATTAATTCGACCCCCAAGCCTATCTCGTGACTCCAGTACAGTCACCTAGCCAAATGATGAAGATAAGCCAAGGCATAAGGCATGGAAAAAGTCTTTAAGCTCACCTAATTAAACAAAATTGAAAAAATAAAGAGGAAGTCTGATCGTAATGATATGACACCTTAAAAGATGCATCATAGAGTCTTCGAGCTGCAGCAATTCCAGATATTCCTGCACCAATCACAATAACGGAAGGGGGTGGTCTGTTTTTGCCCTCAATGAGTGAGGCAATTTTACCTGATCATTGCGAAAATCAGAAGGGGTGAAATCCTAATTCATAATGAGAATGAACTAAAAAACCACATAAAACAATATCTCACGTCAACTTTTCAATATACAACATTTCAAACATGAAAATAAACTAAACATACTACATTGCTTGCCTTATAGTTGCATAGTATACATACCTACATGCAAGATATTGAAAATACCCAAAAGTTACAAATTTCGCTAATAACTTTATTACTCCCAACACAGGAATCAAACCGTTCACATACACTTAAACCAGACAAAAGCATTTATGGCATAAAATTATGAAAGTGCTCCAAAGATCCATATAGTGTGTTTGGGTGAGCATTTGCAAAATTGATTTTAAATGAAATTAATTGTGGTTAATATTGATTTTGAAGTTATGAGATTCATGTTTCGATGTTTTCATTCCAAAAACTAATCTAAAAAAAAATTATCTAACGCAAAAGCTACATAAAGTTATTTCAATTCAAATAAATTCCCAACATAAAAACAAAATGAACATCCACGTAAAATCACGGTATTCGGTATTTCACATGATACTGGATCTTCTAACATAAATCCAGCTCAATTAAGTGCTGTTTGGTTAAAATTTAAAAACGCGTCAAGTCAGGTCCGACCCAAAGCTACGCTTTGTAGCTCACAAATTTTACGTAAAAAACGCAAGTATGAGATATAAAACGCAGAACAAAATATCCTCTAATCACAAATAAACTACTCATGCAGACACTATCTACTTTATAGCAAGATCTACCTTATGCATGAGATTATAAAAATAAAAAGAAAATTAAAAAAAGTACATTATTCATACACAACACCACAGATCTTTCTTACAAGATAAACAAACTAGCAATTCCTTGAACATCAACAGAAAAATCCAAAACATAACAATATACTACATCTATTCATAAAGTTGAAAATTAAAAAAAAAAATAGAGAAAAACAAAATCCGGCATGCAAGATTGCGAACCGAAGAAGGTGAAAACACTAACCATCGACGAAACGCTCGGGGAAGATGTGATTAGGGTCCATGTTGGGCGAGGGAATCGAAAGCGAGAGAGAGGGAGGGAATCGAATAGGAATGAAGGAACGATTATGGAATCAAATGAAATGAAATCGAATCGAATTGGAGAGGGTTGTTCAAGGCTGTATAGGAATGGGGAAATTGGATACTAACTGAAACGAATTGCAAAAAATTAACAGCAAAATGCCGGCAATGAAGCGGCTGAGATGGGGAGAGAAACGCAACTTCTCAAAATATATCATAATCCTATTGTTTCGATCAAAATCCAAACGGAGAACCTTCCTTGCATAAGAACGATGCTAAACCCCTATTCCAATTCGATCGCACGCACCCTCTCTCTCTCTCTCTCTAATGGAATTGCACAAGATGATTATTGCAAACTCTCTCAACAAACACTCTATTTATACTTCACGGGAACGCTTTTCGCCTTCTTTTAGGAAATTCTCATTACTATTTAATTCCAACTATTTTATTTTAAGCAAATGGGGACTATTTATAAAACGTTTTCGTTGCGTCGGGGAATACTCATCAAATGTTAGGTATTCTACAAAATTTACTATTTTCATTTTCATCCTCATAATTATTCAATTATTTTTTTAAAAATTATTAATTGATGGCTATCTTAATTAAATAGTTATTTTTGTTCATTACAGGGAAGTTGAAAGACTTGCATTTATTTTATCACGTTTTAAAGATTTTTCATTTATTTCTTTCATTTTTTTTTCGATACAAAAGATTACAACAACAGCAAAAAAAAATTCAAATATCTTTTTATTTATTAATATTTTTAATTTGAATTTTAACGTTTATTTTGTGATGTCTTATTATTATTCATATTCTAATTATTTTATTATTATTTTTACTGAAAATTTATATATATAATAGTACACCTTTATCTATAACTATTATAAAAACAATATATTTTATTAATCATCCTTTTAGTCTCTATTTCTATTTTTTAATAGATATTTATACCCTTAAATATAAAAAAAAAAAATTCTTATATCAATTTTTAATATTTATTTATATATAATTATTAGAGGCACGTGCCTCAACATCTCTAGTATTAATAAAAGTAATAAATTTATATGTGTTAGATAAATTTTTGAATAAATAATTATAAGAGAAGAAAAATAGGAAAAAATAAACACAGATTCGGATACTTAATGAAGGAGACCATTTTTCTTCCTCTTATAATTATTTAATTATTTAATAAATAATTATAAGAGAAGAAAAATAAGAAAAAATAAACACAGATCCGGATACTTAACGAAGGAGAACATTTTCTTCCTCTTATAATTATTTAATTATTTAATAAAGTTTACAAGTAATAAATATGTTAAAACTTTACAATATTATTTATTATGTATTTATCGAAAGGTTTTCATTAATCTTTTTTATTAAATTTATTTTAGATAATTTTATAAAAAAATAAAATCTGTAAAATTAACTTTTTAAGAGAGGAGGAAGCCCGCAAACCTACGTATAGTTGAGAGGGTGCATTTGCATCATTTGACTTTATTGATTAAATCTATAAATTAAAAAAATAATTTATTAAATAAATTTAAATTAATATATAAAATATTTTTATAATAATTTATTAATTTAAATTAATAAAATAAAATATTAAATAATTTTAAATTTGTATAATTTTTTGAAAAAAATTATAGCATGATATTAATAAGAATGTCTTTTGATTTTGTTAAAACTAATATTTCTTATCATCTTGATTATATTAAGATTATTTTTTTAATATTATTTTTTTAATGAAATTTAAGATTTAAATTCGATACTTTGAGAATTAACTGTAATACCACCAGAACTAACGAAACAAAAATAACTCTTTGCAATTGAATGCATGTATAAAAAGGGGTTAGTTTTAATAATAAAAAAAGAATTATAATTCCGTAAAAATATATATCGACCTTCTTTACATGAATATTATTGTTATTATTATTATTTATTTTACAAGGGATTTTTGTCGATTATGACAATGAGTGAGACAATAACCTAACAAAACCGGCACTTTCTGTTGTCACTTGCCTGCTAGGCTGCTACATGGTAGGGTGGGGACAGATTCAAATTTAGAGAAAGGAATATTCTCTTTTTTTTCCTTTTATGGGTACCAACTATCAAGTCGGTAAAAAAAAGTAGAAAATTGGTATGCTTTATTGATCCAAATAATTCACAAAACCATTGTAATAAAAAAAATAGATATATATAAAGAATAATAATACGTATGATTAGTTCGATCAAATTTCACTATCAAATCCAAGTTATTAAACGGAATAAATTTAGATAAATTTATTTTTGAAATAAACGAATTATTCCTCTTTATATATATTAAGGATAGTAACGAGACAGATCGGATACGGATTTCATGATATTCGTCCTCATTCCCACAACTCAAACTCATCATCATCCCTGTACCTTTACTCGTTAGGTATGAGATTTTTATCTCATCCTTGTCTCCATTGGATATTAGATATGCACAGACTTATATCTGTCAAAAATTAATTAATTTTTTTTAAAGAAATATACAATATTTTTAGTTTATTTTTCCATTATATTAAAATTATAATTAAGTTGTTTGTTTATCTCATATTTTAATCAAGAGACTTCTTAATAATTAAACAACTACAAATGTTTTACATCATAATAAACAATCACACATAATTAAATATTAAATTTTTTTAAAATAATCAAATTGGGGTGAATATTAAACCAGAGATGGGGACGGGGACGGGGACGGGGACGGGGACAGGGACATGGATGGGGCGAGTAAGTATATACATGTACTCGATTTAATATATCAGGTTTTACTTGTATCCGGTCAAACCGGACACTCCCTAAAGTCGTCAAAATAAATGAAAACAAGTTGGCCCGTGAACTAACCAGACCCACCTTGAAAACAGGTCGGGCTGGGCCAAAATAAATGAAAATTTTATAGTAAGTGAGTATATTTAAACTCGACTCACTTTCACTCGACCCACCTAGGTTGAACGCGTGGTAGGTCAGGCGGCCCACCAGCCCACTCTTTTTTTATAATAGAAATTTGATTATGGTTTATAGTTAATTATGTATGATAGGACATTGAAATTTTTTATTTTGGACTTTTATCATGGTTTGTATTTAATTTTGTATGATGAGTTATAATTTATGACTATTAATGATGTTAATTTTATGGCTATTATGTTAATTTATAATTAATTTAAAATTTTGAATTTTGTTGATAATTCTTTTTTAATTTTTTTGTGGGTTGGTGGGCTGACTTATATAACCCACCAACCCATTGTGGGCCGAGCTGGGCCAGGAAAATTCTGAGAAAATCAAAAGTGGGTCAAGTTGAGTTGGCCCATTTTTAAAGTGGGTCAAGGTGGGTCGGCCCACATGGATCGGACTAGCCCATTTTGACAGCTTTAGTATTTCTCGTCAAAGTCGAGACAGGTTTAGATATTATCCACGAATACAAGTTTATTTGTCATCCCTTATATATATATATATATATATATATAACTCCTAAAATATTATAAAAATATGCTAGAGAGTAGAAAGATTAATAAAAAAAACACTCAATTTAGAGTGTGAGACTTGTATTTTCTTTATTAGTATTTTAGCATATATAATGTACATATTAAATATTAATTATATATAATTAAAAATTATAATAAATTATATATACAACTAAATATTACGTCTGAATATATAAATTATATTTTAGAATTATGATAAATAATTTGGATTATGGATTAAGATTACTTTTTATTTATTGATAATTGATTTAAAAAATATTAAATACAATTCGTAAATAATTATGATAAATAAAAAATCAAATAAGATGAAAAATTAAAAGAATCTCTAGAAAAAATATTCGTTTAAGAAAACTTTCTAAAAACATTATCACCATAGATAGTTGTTCATGTTTAGCATTAAGAGTTGATTATTGCAATTAGGTATTCTCATAATTAAATCCTATATATTAAACATGAACGACTATCCTATACAAAAGCATTTTTAGAAACAATTCTTTGAAAGAAGCATTTTTAGATATTTTTATAACTTTTCTTCCACTTCATTCTTTTATTTACAATATTTTTTATGAATAAATTTTAATGTTTTGAAATATATTTTTAATAATAAAAAATAATATTGTCTCACAATATAAATTATTTATCTGACGTTTAAAATATAATTTATATATTTAAAAATATTTATTTATACATATGTTAAATATAATTTTTTATATATAATTTAGTTATATGTAATAAATATTTTGTGTGTGGAATCATATGTTAAAATACTAATTAATTATCATCTCCTTCTAATTTGCATTTTAAATACAACCACGTATCTAGTCAAAAAAAATTTATTCATGTTAAATGACTCTTCTTTTTATATTTACGTGTAATACTATTACATTGTGAAAATGTTATAATTATTCCTAATCATTTTATGTTATTAGGTTGAGTTGTTAATCACTATTGATAGGTTACGGAATTTGAGGATCCCTTAGGAGTTTCAATTGTAGTGATGAGGGATTTCTAACTAGAGATCTGGTTTGACGCTAAAGGGAATATTATATAAGGTTCCTGTTTTGAATAGAGCCCCGTAAACGTTTTTCCTTTGAAGTATAGAGAAAAGATTCCATTGATATAAGCTCTGGTCCGTAACTTCTTTCTCCTTCGAATTTTCCCTTTCAATGAGATTCTTGTTCTCCTTAATTGATCATAAGTTGTTATGTTGTGATTCAGGTAGTGGAAATCTTGAATCAAGTTATTGATCTCGTGTGAGGTTCCATTTTTTTCTTCTCCATCAGTTCCAAGCTACTTGAGGTAAGGGAAGTTAGAATTTTGCTCTTGAATGGAGTTGTTAAGTTGTTGATTGATGCATGAGTGGTATATTGCATGAATTTTCTCTTAAATTTTGAAATGGTGTGGTTAAAAATGAAGTATTGTGTGTTGAAAGTTGGGGTTATGTTCATGATGATGAAGGTGGTGATTTGAGATGATTTGTGATTGCATGTCGAAGCTAAGTGATATATGAGTTAGTTGTGATGTATATGATAGCTATTTTATGTTGCATATGTTAGAACATTGCTAGATTTCAAGTTATGGCTCATAATCGGATTTTGCATATGTAGGATTATGATATACGTCAAGTGCACCTTCGTGGCACCAGGTGTCATTCTAAGTTGAGGTGTTCTCCCTCGATCATATCAAGTGTAGGATCGGTGGCGTCGAGCATAAGGAGAGAAACTCGTCTAAGGTTGGCACAGTGCTAACCATGGTTTGAATGGCAGTGAGCATGAGAACTTTGGGAGGTCTCTGACTTAGCGACTCAGACCCAAAAACGAGTAGCATCCAGCATAGCCAAGCTAGAGCTCTTTGTTTGGATAACATCGAGTGCTAGTATGGCGACACCAGACGTGAG